GTAACCTGGACTTGGTCTTTTGTGGCCTGCTTGCTTTAACCATCATTTTTAATGTCCAGTTATGCTAATTTGTGTTCCAATAATGGAGTTGCAAGACAGTGTTCCTTAGCAGCTTCTGAGAGTTTTTCAGAGGCTTAGCCTCATAGAATCTTAAAAATAGACTTGTTCTGCTGTGGGTCTCTACTGTATACAGCCATGCTATGGCAGCTGCTGCCCATGTGACTTGATCAATTAGGTGTTTCTTCTCCTGGTCCTCTCTGATGACTGCTAGTGATATGGCCATTCCACCTTTCAGAACAGGACACAGCTCATTTTGTGGTCTTTCCCATCAATTCTTGGGACAGCCCTTCCCGAATTCCCTGATGCACAGCTGAGGAAATGGGGCATTTTCCAGAAGAGTTTACTGAAGTTTAGGGAATACAGAAAATAAATTTGACATAGAGAACAGCTTAAAACTGCTTCTAGAAATGCCTACTCATAAAACTGGCCACAGGTTTTAATGGAATGGAAATCCACCCACTCCAGTAGAGTCCAAGAGCAGCCTTCTTGACTCTTTATTGAGTGCCTCTGTGTTAACCCTTTTACAGAATGATTAAAAGTAGGGACTTCCATTCCATTCAGAGAATAGAAGACCCCAGCCCCACCCACATGGAGATAATCTGTCTGACCATTGGGGCAGATGACTTACTTGTACCACTCTTAGAGTATATTTCCCAAAGTCAGAATTATTGCTGCATGAAGCCCAACATGGACCTTGATTTCCAGATATCCTCCAATATCACATGAACAGAAGATTAAACCTCTCCATCTTTGAGCTATACCTCACAGAACAACAGTGCATCTCTCTTTAAGGACAAGCAATGATTTGATGGTATATAGCCATCTAAGTCCAAGTTTAAAGAAAAAACACTCTCTAAAGGAACTGATCTTCAGAGATATAATTTTAAAATGCAGCTATTTTACATTTATTAAACAGAACATCTCAGTCAGAACCTTCTGCATGTAGATTGCTTCAACACATTTACATGTTCACTCTTGCTTTAGGTTGTATAACTTCAAGGGACCACACAGAAGTCAGGAGTAATCTCCCTAAAGACAAAGTGAGACCTTGCATGAAAATTTGAAAACAATAATTTTTAAAAATAAGTCTTCAGACCAAATCTGCATCTGTGATGCAACACACATATTTGCATGGAAATAATATTTTGCATATAATTATAATCAGCTGTAATCAATTTTCTATTGTAAATATTTTAACATCATTAAATATTTTATCATTGATCAAACCATCAATGATAAAATATCATTACATTTTGAAAATATGATTTTTAATGATTTCATGATCTCAGATCTGTAGTTATTATTAACCTAATTCTTTCTTGTTGGACACTTATATTGTTTCCAGTTTATTAATATAGATGATATTAAAATGAACATCTTTGTACATGTAATTGCCCATTTTTTCTGATTACTTTTCAATAATTTAGCTTTTATTAAGAGATCACTTCAAACTTAATGGCTTAAACCTACAAACATTTATTATTTTTCATGATTCTGTTGATTGATAGGACATAAGTTTTTCTAGTCTGGGTTGGCTCTGCCAGGACTGAGTGGTCTAGGATGACCTAACTCATGTGTCTGGGATGACTGGCACTGCTGAGATCATTGGGCCTCTCCCCATATTGTCTCTCATCCTCCAGGAATCTAACCCAGACTTATTCATTATGGCAGAAGGGTCCCCAACAGCAAGAGAGGGCATGCTGCATGCTAAGTCACTTCAGTCATGTCCAACTCTTTGCACTGCTATGCACCTTAGACCACGAGGCTCCTCTGTCCATGGGATTCTCCAGGCAAGAATACTGGAGTGGGTTGTGATGCCCTCCTCCAGGGGATATTTTCAACCCAGGGATTGAACTTGCATCTCCTTATGTCTCCTGTTGGCAGACAGGTTCTTTACCACAAGCATCACCTGGGAAGACAGGTGGTTTTTAGTTTTTAGGTTCTGTCATTTTCTCAAGTCCAGCTGGCTAAAAAAAGTACCATGGCCAAAGTCATATTCAAAGGATAGACAAATAGATTCCACCTCCTGATGGGAGGGGGAGAAAATCACTCTGAGAAGGGGCCTGGAAACTGGAAGGAATGATGGCAACTGCAGCCATTTTTGCATTCAACCTACTATGTTTGCATGTTCATTCGCTCAGTCCTGTCTGACTCTTTGTGATTCTTTGGACTGCAGCCTGCCAGGCTCCTCTGTCCATGAGATTCTCCAAGCTAGAATACTGGAGTGGGTTGCCATTTCCTCCTCCAGGGGATCTTCCCAACCCAGAAATCGAACCTGTGTCTCCTGTGTCTCCTGCATTGCAGGCAGATTCTTTACCTACTGAGGCATCAGGGAAGCCCTTGTAACCCGCTGTAATTTCCTTGAATTTCTGGAAGTATTGGGTTGGCCAAAAAATTGCTTTGGGTTTTTCCATTAGATCAAATGGAAAACGAACATTTGGGCCAACCCAACAGAATGAGCACCTCAGAAAATATAAGCATTTGTTTATAAGTGTTTCTTACTACATATTGCCATACTTACCCTAGGGAAAATTTCTTCTGGTTTGCATTTTTAACAGCAGTCTATCATAGTGCCTATAGAAAACATTTATGGCAGCATTAAATATTTTAAAATTTTAAGTATGTAAATTGTGCATATTATTTATTTTGCATGCATTTCCTTAATTACCCATGGAGACTGATATTTTCATAAATATTATCCATTATATTCTGTGCTTTGTGAATTTTCTTTTTGTGCCCATTTTCCCTGAGGTCCTTGTATTTTTCTCATTGATTTGTTCATGGCTTTTATGAAGGGATAATATTAACCATTATTCTGTCAGAGTTTATACAAATATTTTATCCAGTTTTTTTTGTTTGTTTGTTTTTAAGACGTAGGAATTTTAAGCTTTTATGTAGTCCATATATTTTCCTTTGTGATTATTTCATTGCTTTTAAGATGGGAAATTTACTCCTGCCAATGTAAAAATATTTATTCATCTATATAGTCTTTACTTTTTGTGTGATATCCTTTTTTAAACATTTAACTAACTCATCTGAAATTTATTTTGGCATGTGATATTACATACACTATTTTTTTCCTCAAAAGCTACTTCTCTTTAATTTCTTTTAAAATATATACTCCTTTTTGAAAGACTTATCCTGAGTAATTTCAAACATATATAAACTTAGAATAGTATAGTAAATCTCTATGTATCTATTTCCCAGATTAAAAAGTTATCTATAAATACCCCAAATTAGTTTATCTGTTCTTATTTCCTCATGATTTTCAGATTATTTGTGTCAATGAAAAAATTAATCAATAGTCTAAGAAAGAAATGGAAAATATTATTCAAGACAACCTGAGGATTATAAGATGGAAGGCAATCTTTCAGAAAACTATTTCAAAAAGGTAAAAGGGGAGGTCAGTATGTACATGATTTTTGGTAAAGGGTTATGTGCAATGAAATGCAGCTTAGTAAAAGGTTGCTACAATTTGGGAGGAGCAGATATCTTGGTTAATGGTTTTAGTGCTTTTCTAAGTATGGGAAGAACAAGAAACTGGGTTCACAAAATTTTCTTCTGAAACATCTAACTATCTGAGGGTCAGTTCTGTCAGTTTTCCGAGAGCACAAAATGCCTCATTCTGCTCTTAGCTCTGAATTCTTTTCAGAGTGTACTTTAGGTCAGTGACTGCAGTAGCTAATGACTTGATTCTTGTAGAACTGGATAGTGAGCAACACTCTTCATTTTACAATGCCTTCCCTTTTGGTCTTAATTTTGACCAAGATTTGAGAAACATTTCATGACCAATTTGTCCCTGGGAATGCTCACTCCCAGGTCAGGAGAGGATTTCGATAAGCTATTCAATGTACTATTACTGGACTAGACCTTTTAACAGTAACGAAAAGCCTCTGAATTGCCTGTTTTACTAGTCTGAAGCTTCCCAGCTGGCACAGTTGGTAAAAAATATGCCTGTCAATGCAGGAGATGCTAGAGAGGTGGAGTGAATCCCTGGTTGGAAAGATCCCCTGGAGTAGGAAATAGCAACCACTCCAGTATTTGTGCCTGGAAAATCCCATGGACAGAGGAGCTTGGTGGGCTACAGTCCATGGAGTCACAAAGAGCTGGACATGACTGAGTACTCACACGTACACACAAACATCTGTTACGGTCCAGGGAATGTTTCCCTCTTATATAGACTTCTTCCTGTATCTAGAGTTAGACACTATTACAATCAGGGATCTTATAGGGCTATATACATGATCAGTCTCTTCAAGTTGCCTAGTCATCCTTATTTTTATTGGAGGCTCAGTCACATATTTGGTAATGCAAGACAGAATGATTTTATAAAATAGGCAGAATAATGAATAATATAACTACCAAAATTAATAAGGGCATAAGTAAATATTTCAGCTTAGAACTTCCAATGGGTGCTGCCCAGTATCTCCCCAGACTGTCTGACTAGTTTGTTCTGCACCAACCCCTGTCTTTAAGGGAAATGATATATTAGCATCGTACATAAAGTTCACCAAAGATGGCTGCACATACAAGGTAAGTAGTGGGTCATTGTGATCCCCTAAGTGATTGAGAAAGGCATATTATCTTGTAAGGATTTACATGGGTGATGCCAGAAGGAGAAATGTAGATCTTTATAGTTGAGCAGGTATTTCTGCCACTGGGGAGTTCAGGTTAATGCAAGATGCAGATGAGAGAAGGGAGGGAGAAGGCCGAAGGGCAGTGAAAACATTTTATGCTTTCCTGCCCTGCTTTCAAATATGAATTTTTATTCCACTGACAGACATTCTGTCATTTCAACATCTATTTCTGAAAGATAAAGACCTTTTAAAAGCACAATAATGTCATTATTATATCCCAGGTATTAATAATTCTTTAATACAAAATTTTCACAATTGTGTCATAATTTTTTTTTTTAAAGAATAACCATTTATTAAAGTAGATACAGAACACCTGTTTGTTTGGATTTTAATACTGCTTTACATTTTGTGTTTGTGAGACAGTTCCTATTATGATATGTTTGTTTATAATCCCAAATTTCAACTGATTACATATTTATTTTTCACTTGTCAAACACATAGCTGATAATCTGGAGGGGAAAATATATCAAAGGCATATATACAGTTATAGAAGTTCTTATTATAAATGTCTCCTGGAAGATACATTTATTTATTCCTTTTTACATATTCTAAAAGACATTCAAATGAAGATAAATAGATTCAAACTGGTTGCTAAACTTGTGGTTGAGGTCCTTCATTTTATTTTTTGTGATAAGAAAATCCAAAACTATTAATGTTGAATTTCTCACCGTACATTCATCTAAAAACACAGTAAAAAAAAAACCAAAACTTGTAAAGATTGTAGATTGGTTCCTTTAGGTGTTTTAGAGTGACTTATTATCTAATTAACCGACTGCTGGGGATATTTGTTGGAGAAGAAAAACAAAATCTGGAGAAAATTCTCCCAGTTACTTATTCCTGATAAAGAAAGAAAATGAAGAGAGAACACACAGCTGCGAAGCCACGTGATGCTGATCCTGGCCTAGCCCGTGAGGTCCTGATGAACATTTTAAGTGTTTCCTTTTTCATAAAGATAAAAATCTGAAAAGAAAGACATACTGTATATGTTTTTTCCCAAAATATAGATTTTACAAAAATATATACATATAATATATAGAAGCTGAAATTATGCAAAACTGATCAACAAAACACCACAGTAGAGTAAAGTGGGTGCAGCATCGAGATTATAAGAAAACGTCCCCACAGCAGTCTGGGGGCTTCCCCCTCCCTTTACCTGGTTCATGATTTTATAGTCACACCTAAAAGTATCATCAAGCCTTAAATAAAGGCACTACTGACATCGGGCAGTGCAAAGAACTCAGCTATTTCTTTGACTAAAAATAAAATAAATGAGTAGATGAAAATGCAAAGTGGCATACTTTTTTTTTTTCAACTCATTCCAGTGTCAAAGCTTAACCCAAACATCTAAATATACAAATGCAGCCTGGAAATATTTTAGTGCAAATATGAAGAGGAACAGTATAATTTAAAGTTAACTTAAATAAGGTACTGGCAGGGTAGGAGTCGTTCTGTGAGGTCTCCCTCATAGGGACGATGAGTGTAATGGCATCTGGTGCAATGGACTACTTTTTAAAAATCAAGAAGACAAAAATCAGAGGTGAAACCCCCCCTTTATTGTTCTTTCTGCACGCAAAATGCTGGTGGTCAGTTGCCTACATGCTAGCACATCTGAGAGAGCCCAGTTCTGGGTGGGAGGTCTCATCATCATTGCTGTTGGTAGCCCAGTGCCCAAACATCTCGCAGATTTCACAGTATGGGTGTTCCTCGCTCCGACTGCCGTGGTGTGCAGAATGGGGAGGGTCCTCAGACATCTGGGACTGGGTGGGACAATCCTCTGTGTCATGCAGATCAAAGCAGTCACATATGTCACAGAAGAGGCGGGGTTTCTTCTCGGACTGTTTTTCCTGGTCATCGCTGTCGTAATTGTTCAGGTCATCCCCGTCCCTGTTCAGGGCTGCTTCTGACATCATCTCCACCTTCATCGTGAGGTCCTGATTCTTGCTCTGAAGGTCTACCACTACTGAATTGAGGAAGCCAATCTGACTCTCCTGGGCTCTTTCGTCCTCTTCTGCCTGAGTATCAGTATTACCTGAGGAGCTGCTGAGCTGCATCTTGTTTTCTTTGAGTTGAAGCTCCAAGTTCTTTACCTTGAGCTCAAGCTTCACTTTATCAGACTCTAGAGACTGAACAACCGAATGCAGGGACTTGGCGGACGCGTTCTCTCCCCTGAGCACCGTGACCTCATTTCTTAGCTTTTCCAGCTCCGCATCCTTTTCTGTGAGTAAGGCACTAGTGAAACTGATGGATTTCTGCAAGGAAGCTTTTTCTTCATCTGCGTCTTTTATTAACTTGGATTCTCTCTTTTTCATTTCTAAGAACTGATTATTGAGTACAGATCTCTCTTCTTCCAGCTTTTGGTGACTGGTGACTTCGTCCCTGCTCCTCCCCAGCTCCTCGTTAAGTTTCACGTTCTCTTCTTGCAGCGCTGAGAGCTGCTGGGACTTCTGAGCTGCTGCCTGCTTCAAGGTTTCCATTTCTTTCTTTAATTCTTCTATTTTTTGGTTCTCTACCATCAGAAGCTCTTTTGATTTGTTCAGCTCTTCCACGTTTTTCAAGTTGTTTTCTTTAAGAGTATCCAATTTGGCTCCTTCGGCTTGCTTCCCCAGCTCCTCCAGCTTCTGCAGCAGCTCACAGTTCTCCTCCTGTGTAGCCTTCAGCCGCTCCTCTGTGTCCCGGAGCAGCTTGTGGAGGTTCTGCAGAACTTCTTCGTGCTTGGCTCTGCTCTCAGAAGTGGCTTCCTCGTACCTGGCTTTCAGATCTTGACACTCGTTGCGGCTCATTTCCATCTTCTTTTCCAGGTATGATAGTTTTCTCAGCAGTTCTTTCTTTTCTTCCTCATGCTTTTTAGCTGCTTCTTTCTGACTTTGTTCGGCTTTGAGAGTTACTTCCCCGATACTTTTCTGCAGGAGGCTTGTGTTTTCGTTAGCCTTGGTGAGTTTCAGCTGTAATTCTTCTACATCTCTTTCTTTCAGACGTAGTTCGTCGTTCATTTTTGTCAGCTGAGAAGAATTGTCTCCAGACATTTTCATTATTGCTGCAATGTCATTTTCCAGTTTTTCCTTTGCCTTTAACAGCTGCTCTTTCCTTTCATCTCTCTCTCTGAATTTTGCCTCCATATCTTGCATACTTCTCTGAAAAGAGACTGCCTCCTCTGAAGCATCAGCGAACTTATCTTTCAAAGTCTGCAGTTCTTTTTACAAAGCCTCTTTCACTCGGCTGACTTCGCTCAAGTTTTCCTGAAGGTTATTAAGCATTAGCTCTTTTCCCTGCAGCTCTCTGGTGATGCTACTAGCCTCAAGATTGCCCTTAGTAATTGACTCTTCGTCAATCCGGAACTGAAGGTCCTCAACCTTCCTTTTCTCCTCTTCAAGTTGGTTGAGAAGTTCCACCTTCTCCCAGTCGGCAGCTTCCAGCATCGTTCTAAGCTGGTCCATCTTGGCCTCCAACTCCAGGATGTGCTGGTCATGTCTGTCCCGGGCCAGGGCGAGCTCCTGCTCTATCTCCGCGACGTGGCTCATGGCCTTGGCCACCTCCGCCCTCTCTAGATCTCGTTCGGCCAGCAGCTGCTCAATATGCTGCTGCTTCTCCTTCAGGGCCTCCTGGAGGGCGGTGGTGCCGGAGATCTTCCTGGCGTAACGGGAGGAGGTTTCGGTCAACAGTCCTGTCCGGCTGGGCTTGCTGCTCACGGAGGAGGCCACGGAGCTCATGGAGCTGAGAGAGGAGGCGGATGGGCTGCACTTCATGCTGGCCGGCGTGGTTCCCATCACTCGCCTCACTGCCGCGGCCTTGGCTTTGGCTGGCGTGGTGGAGGGGAAGCCAATCTTGGTGACTTTGTGGATCGGAGCAAACAGGCCGTATTTGAGTTGACACTGAAAATACCTTGTTCCAGCAACAGCCCCGTCATTCTTCCCCAGAGGTTCATCCAACTCCACGCCGCACCACTCCCCCTTGGCAAAGTCTGTCTCCCCAAGAAACCGGACTACACCAGCCTTCGTGCCACCAACCTGGAAGCAGAGAACAACAGAAGGAAGAGGTGAACAAAATCCNCAGTCAGTCTCTGGGTTAAACCAGTTTGGTAGGCAGCTTCTGCTGCCATCTCTGAAAGACTGACGGCAGTCATCCAGGTGGTTTCCAACTTCAGGTACTCTTGCTGTTTTGAAGTCATCTCAACTCTGGCTCCTATAATCACCTGCCATACTTCATCTTCCTCCTGTGAATTCATTTTCCCAAGTAAACTTGTGTATTGTCGGTACAGAGAAATTAAGGTATAAACAGCCTTAGTATATTCAGTGATTGCTTCAATCAATGCATATGTGGTCTGAGAGAGAAAGGTAGAGGTGCTATCTGTTACCAAAGACACAGCCCTCCTCATTAATGTATCGTTACTAAGAGAATGAGGCTCCGGTTTCTGGGCAATAGGGACTGCACACAGAGTGACCCCGAATCCCACAGCCACCGTTTTGTGCCATGGTCTTATCAATTCCGAGAAACAGCGGTTCTTAAAGTTAGCCACGACAGGAACACACTGTCTGTACCTGAAAAGCGAGGATACGCTCCGAGAAAGCCAACTCTGTAGAGCCGCCATTCCGCGGCGGCAGGATTCCAGAAGCACACGCCGGCAGTGATCTGTGTCATAATTTCTTTACACTTCGAATAGGAGTCTAAGTAAGTAAATACACTGTGATTGGCTGCTACGTCTCTTAATTCTCTTTAAGCTGCTCAGACTCTCTTTTATTTCCCTTGCAGTGTATTTGTTGAAGAAAATAGATTGTCCTATAAGGTCTTTCCTTTTATAGATTTTGCTGATTGAATCTTATGGTCTTGTTTACCATGTTTCTCTATGCTTACATTTCCATTAACTTGGTATTTAGATCTAGAAGCTTGATTAAATTCATTTTACTTTACTTTTGAGCCAGAATATGTTCTAGATGATATTGTTATATATTTCCTTCAGTATGCACATATTATCAGGTTGTCTGTCTTTGAAGAATAATAATCACAAATGATTATTACCTAGATCACTTAATTCTTTATGGATCTAGGTGTTTCAGGAAGGGGGACCCCTTCCAGGGCCCGAAACTGGGCTCTTGCCTAACACTCGGAAATGAATTGTCCGAGGAGACACATGTGCTGACAGAGCAAGAGATTTTATTGGGAAGGGCACCCGGGTGGAGAGCAGGAGGGTAAGGGGACCCAGGAGAACAGCTCTGTCACATGGCTCGCAGTCTCAGGCTTTATGGTGATGGGATTAGTTTCCCGGTGGTCTTTGGCCAATCATTCTAATTCAGTCTGTCCTGGTTGCGCACGCATCACTCAGCCAAGATGGATGCTAGTGAGAGGGATTCTGGGAAGTGGACGGACACGCAGTGTCTCCTTTTGACCTTTCCTGAACTCTTCTGGTTGCTGGTGGCTTATCAGTTCCGTATTCCTTACCAGGGTCTCCTGTCATAAAACAACTCATGCGAATGGTTACTGAAGGGCCTGGCCAGGGTGGGCGGTTTCAGTCAGTGTGCTTCCCCTAACATAGGGAGCAATATTCTAATTGTATCCCTTGATCCTCATTTACTAGCAGAATAATTTGATAAAAGGAAATGTTCCTTCACCTACATGTTACCTGTGGTACAATTTATAAAGGAGAACCTTGATTCTTTGCTTTTGTTTAATAGCTTTCAAAGTGATAAGTTAGTTCTTTAGCATCCTCCTATGGTGACTAAGCATTTACAAATACTATTATGTACTTTATCATTTAAAAACACATTATGTTTTAAACCATTGCAATGAGGCTCAATTTTTTCTCATGTTGGTCAGTAGGAGCCTCCTCTTCAAACCGGTGCCTGAATCTTTTTGGCATGGGCTTAGAGTTCTTTGGAAGCTTCCTTGCTCTCTGATATGACAGGATAGTTGAGTCTTTCTGTGTCTGTCTCCTGCCTTTTAATGGGATCTTAATGAGAAACCTTGATTCATTCTGGTGGAAATTTCTATTTGGAAAGCCTGATTTGATTTCTTGGAGAACTCTTTGCTGAGGGTTGGTCATTGTTTCCAGCTGTTGCTTTTTTCATCATTCAGAGCTAAGGAAATGTATACTGTAATTATATAATTGTATAAAGATAAAGTATGTCATGGATTTAAATGCTGATTTTTCTGATTCATATTCAAGACCACAGAATTTTAACTAAACCATTTGATCTTATACCTGTACTTCTTTTTCCAGTGGCTGAATATCACTTTACAATGATATCAACATAATTACTAATTTGGTTTATTTTACAGTGTATATGCAACAGTCCGGGAATAACCAGCAAATGTACCCCAACAATAGATTACTGAGAAAAGTTTCAGACCTTTGTTAGTTGTTTATTGGAGTTGTGTATGTGTGTGTATGTGAGTGTCCCCTCTTGGCGTGTATTAAGATGTTTAGTGGAAGTCATTGAGTGGTTCCTCTCTATACATTGTGCTGACAACTCAGACACAAATTATTTCATTTTGCTTTCAGTTTTTAGGGTTTGCTACATTTTATCAATCCGTAAACTTTTTTTAAAATCTAAAATTTTCCTCTTAGAGCCGTCTCTTGTAGTTGGAACATTAAATGAAAACTGTCATTAAGAGTATGATATGTATTACATGGCATCCAAAATCATCATGTATGTACTGAAACATGCCAGGATTCTGAATCTTGAGTCCATAAAAAGTTTTTAGGGCAGGAAATGGCCCTATTCAAATAGCATCATAATGTTGAAGAGACACTAAATGAATAGTCCAGTAACTGATGGCTTTTACATGCTCTGAAAAACATCATGTAGCAATTGTGCTGTAGTTATTGCCAACTTGTTTACTGTTGTTTTGGGCCTTTTCATCCCTTCAACTGTGTTGCCAAAATTCTAGTGTCTGAAAGAGTGCCCTTAACATAAACCACAAATGGAGGAGGTGGATGGAGCATTGCTGGGCCATGGTGGTCTTGCTCCAGAAGCCTGGAACAACATAGTACATCTGTACCAGGGTTTGTTGTAGAAGGACCTGAGAAATTTATGGGGATGACACTTGGGGGACAGAACTCACTTCATTAACAATGGATGGTGGGAGAGTCTGCTTAACAAAATTCTTTGACTGCTCTCTTCAAGAGCTCATGCAAGAATGACGAGAAAGAAGCTGTAAGAAACTAAAAAGAATGCTTTCTTTTTCTTTTAACACTCTAAGAACACAACCAATTCCAGTTTTATAGCCCCAGTGTAGTCATGTGCTATGCAAGTGATTTCCCACTTCAGTAAAGGGAATACTGGACCACCCATAATACAGGGAAGAGAAGAAGAGGGAGGTCTTGGAACAAAGTGGAGCCAGTCTCCATATGGAATAGAAGCAGCTGTATAGGATGTTAACTTAGTGAATTTGAGGAAACAGCGTAGACAGCTCTGTAACAGGCAGGAGAATAGCGACTGGGGCCACATCACAGCCAAAGGATGGGGTTAGAAAGAATCTGTAAGTCTGTTTCATATCCTTGATTATTCTGCTTTCAAGCTAATGTTAAACACATTCTTCCTTGTTGTGAATAACTGAATAGTGGCTAAAATTTCTTGGTGAGCAGTAGAGCTAGATAAATATTATGCAGCTACTGTTACTGCAACCTTAATTTTAGTCCTGGGCTGGTATTATTGCAGGATAGTCTTCAGGAAGTAAATCATTCTCCATAATCATAGCAGTGGGCATCTGTATAAATCTTTTCCCTTACAAAGTAGTTTTGCATCCATTGAACATAAGAGAGGTGAAATACCCCTCCCCCCCTCATATTGTGAACTTTCAGTTAGGGAAATAATTCTATCAAAAGTAATAGAGGTGTTACTACGGGGATGTCTACATGGGGCCTACGATTTGACTCTATATTCCGTCTCAGTACCTGTTATTTATCAATGCTGTATGGTAGGTACTCAGTCCAAGTTCCTAAAGGACTGGGTGATTGAACAGCAAAATCCTCTTAAGGACAGCATTGCAGAAGGCTTTATCACTACCATATATGAAATAAATAACAAGGACCTGCATATGGTACAGGGAGCTGTACTCGATATTTGTAGTGACCTATAAGGGAAAACAGTCTGAAAATATAGATCTATCTATCTATCTATCTAATCTCTCTCTCTCTATTTTTCATCTATCTATCTATCTATCTATCTATCTATCTATCATCTATCTATCTATCTATCTATCTATCTATCTATCCATCATCTATCTATCATCTATCTAGTGGAATCACTTTGCTGTGCGCCTGGTACTAACACAACATTGCAAATCAACTGCACTTAAAAAAATAAAAGAAGGCTTTACATCTATTCAGCCTTTCTTAAATGTCAGGCAGACAAAGCTAAGCATTTCTTGGCATTAACTGGGTCCATGTCCCCATTCTTAACACACTACTATGTTGTGGCAAATACAGGATTGAGAAACTTGTGCCTCCACTTTTCTTAGCATTTTTTAGTGCCAGCATATTAACAATGAGGAGCTTCCCAGATGATGCTAGTGGTAAAGAACTCGCCTGCCAATGCAGGAGATGCAAGGGATGAGGGTTCAATCCCTGGGTTGAGAAAATCCACTGGAGGAGGGCATGGCAACCCACTCCAGTATTCTTGTCTGGAAAATCCCATGGACAGAAGAGCCTGGTGGGCTACAGTCCATAGGGTCACAAAGAGATAGACATGAAGTGACTTAGCACACACACATTAACAAAGAGGCAAGAAGAAATGAAGTTCCTCTACAGAGAATATTTACATTGATCATAAAACAAGAGTTTATAACCAGGAGAATAAACTGCTAGTCTAATGATCATGATATCTTACACTTACTCATCATTTTGCAGTTTAAAAAGTACTTTGATATGTATTATCTGGGAGACCAATAAAGGTGATTGATCGTGTAATGAAGTACCATCCTTTTAAATGTTCTCGCTAAAAACAACACTGAGTATATTTGAGATGGAAGATCAGGAAAGGATAAAGATGCGCTTTTTCAACCCAGATGCTCTTAGTGGTTTCAGGTTTTTCTCTGTTCTGTGGGAATCCATCAATTGTATCATTTGTTGTGAGACTCAATGTAGATATTCTACCAATGCCCACTTCTCCTTTTCTTTACAAGATAATATCTTATTTCCATAATGGAGCTTGGGATATTGCTGTAGAAACCTTTCTGGCATTTTCTGGTTTCATATTTCCTCCTTATCTGTGAACTCAAAAGTTTATTGATGGTGTTGGAATTTTAAAGAATATGAAATGTTCATTATGGTCTATGAATGGCAGCCAGACGCAGTAGTGAACTATCCATGAAGAAAAAGTTTACGCTTAGTCTGTATGAAAAATTTATAATGTGTATACTGTGAACATAACAGAATGTTGAAATGCCTCTCTTGAAGTCCAAGAATTTTGGTTGACATGTCAAAGCTGAAATCTGTGGGTGCTAAGTACACCCACATTCTACAGGGTACCGCCAAATACTTCTACATAGGATGCCTGTGTGCGTGCCACGTTGCTTCAGTCATGTCCAGCTCTTAGAGACTCTGTGGACTGTAACCCACCTGGTTCCTCTGTCTGTGGGATTCTCCAGGCAAGAATGCTGGAGTGGGTTGCCATGCCCTCCTCCAGGG